CCTTTAAATACCTCTACTGCGTATTTAAAAATAGAGTGGTAGCACAACTGAGTATGTTTGTGCTTTATTCATGTATTTATTACAAAGTATTAATCAAACCTGGGAGCTGGCCGTGAGACAGACATCGCTGATGACACAGAACGCTGTGATCACTCCTCTGAAACAGTTTATTGACGCATGAATTAACTTAAAAAGCAGAAATCTGCCGGCAGAATACGTTCGCTTTTTATAAACCTGGTGCCTGCAGTTTAGATTATTTAGATGAAAAACACCTACCAGCTGCGGCGGTGAACCGCGAGAAGGCGACCCGGCCAGAGGCTGCTGTTGAATGGGATTCCTACTGACAGTGCACCGCTGGTATGTGGGGGTCTGAGCGGCTCCAACAGAACTAATATTAGAAGGCAGGATTGTAATCTGGATGAACTGACTGCACTGATTAAGTTTTCAGGTGGACTTTCTAACTTAAAAACATATTAAAACTACTTTATTCCCACTGATCACAGCAAATATAGCTGCAAGGCAAAGAAAGGATAGAGTAGCTCCGCCCATAGCGCGTCAGACACATTTTTGCACCGTGCAGCTGGAGCAGCAAAGCTGCTTCAGCCACGCGTCAGAACTAAATGGTACAAGCAGCAAAAATGAAGCAGCAGACGCGATTTTGCTGCTCTTGCTGCGTCCGATGTGAACGTAGCATTACTTTGAACGGCCGGTTCACACCGATGTCGAGCGGTTGAAGTTCCTTTGTCAGACCTCCCGGAATAACAGCGAGCACAGCGTCATTTGTTTCACCTTGTTTTTCACATCAGCTGTGAGATGGGCATGCATGGAGTCACAGATTAACAGCTATGGTGATGCGTGGAAAAAAACCACCTGGTCTCCTTACATACACTTCCCTCAGCCACTCTTTCATCATCTCCTCAATGAGGAGATGAGGAGTTCTGCATAAAGCACATACCTGTTTTTTTATACACAATCCACGTCCACACTTCCCCCTTTAACGTTCTCATGGTGGTCTCAACAATGTCCGCAGTAACAACACACATAGGGCGCACCGCACTATAGGGCGCGCCGCACATTTTGAGGGAAAAAAAAGACGTTTATATGCGCTTTATAGTCGCAAAAATACGGTAGTATTATTTGCTAAATATAATCAGACCTACCGGTAATTATCTTTGCCTAGTAACTGAAGTAAAGATTTCAACTTCATCATGAAGGGAGGGGACAACTTAAATGTACAATTTTGAGGACATCCATACTTCCTGGCAGTACCTAACACAGAGGAGAACAGAAAATTTAAAAAAAGCATTGTGATTCCATATGTGTCATGAGTGTCTGAGAAACTTAGATGGATTTCCTCCAAATAAAAATACCAGTGAATTTCAAAGCCAGAAACACTCAGACAAAAACCGCTTCATCTCAAAGACAGAACACCAGACCAAAGCTGAGGGGGGTTGTTCATGTGGTGGGATCAAGGGGGGTCTGTTCAGACTCATGCGATGAAGAAAACAAACAACAACTACAAAAACACATGGGTCAGCACTGAAAAGCTGGTAGCTATGGGCAATATGTACCTGCAACACAAAGAACATACCTTTGATGAGTCCAAGAGGTTCGGATTTTAGACATAGAGGACAGATGGTTTATAAGAGGGGCTCATGTAATCATCTTTGTTAAAAGAGAAAAAAAACATTACTGAACAGAGGGGATGGATTGTGGTTTCAGCTTCCAAGCATCTATGACTCGGTCCTGGAACTCATTCTGAAGAAATCACACTTGCACACTCGTCATCATGACAGAAATGGCCAAAACAAAACTCATACAAAACAAAAGACTCCAATGTGCCAGAGGAAGGGCAGGTGGGTTTCTAATTTGCATTTCTCTTGGAAGCTGCTTAGCAGGTTGGACCTTCATGTTGCATAAAAACATCAGCGTTTCATTTACAAATTGCTCAAATGCAAGCCAGCATCCTGGATGGATGTTGAAATGTTTTTTTGAAAAACTGAGGAAAAGTCTGGTTGCCTCAAATTTAAGCTGACCATGATTTGAGCTCGATTGACACATTCATTTGTTATTCGAACACACAGCCAGTAGGGAGTGTGTTAATAAACAATACCTGACAGTCTGAATATTATAAGACTAAATAAAATATTTACCACCCCTACTGATGTGGGCAATAAATATATCAGTTGCATCACAGCAGGCAAAAGCAATTTTTTTCCCTAAGTTTGGTTCAAACATTTGGGACAGAGAGAAAATAAAGATCATTGGAACATGATGGACTTTTGTGCTACCATTTCACACAACTAGATTGCAACGACACCCAGAATTGCCTTATGTTTTGAAGTGTGCCAGTGATGGAGTCAACAGGTAGTCAAAGAAGGTCATTAAACACAAGAAGATAACCTGCAATAATGGGTTAAATAGTTGCAGGTCATTATGAATCTAAGGGCAAAATAATAAACTGTGTGAAATCTCTGGAGGGCTGAGGGCGCACACACCTAGAAAAAGTGTTAGCATAATCCAGTTCAGACAAAAATAATGACAGAAAGAAGTTTCTTTTTTACATTAAAAGAAAAGCAAAGTTTATAATGATAACAAAATAACTGCTTCAGTCTCAACTTTTGCAATAGTTGCTTTTTAATTTTTAGAGATAAAAGTCTTGAGAGCCTCACTCATCTTCATTGCCCATGATTCGAGAAGTTCTTTGACCCGAAAGCAGCTGAAACATGGAATCATCAGACAGCAGAACAAGTGCTCACTGTTTCTGTGTGAGGTCAGCTTGGCCCAGAGAGCTTAGCAACATTTCCACACACAGTTAATATATCATGTCTCAGGTTACATTTTGGATGCGCTGATTATTTGCTGAGTGACAATGGTTTTACAAGATGTTCCTATACTTATATGGCTATCAAAGCAACAAGACTTTTTGTCATGCAACATTGCTGCATGGTTTGGAGATAATGATCATATAATACCATTATTTCAGCCTTGGTCTTAATGCTCAGAGATTACACCTGAGAAGTGGCAGGCCTACATTACTGACATCCTGGACAAGTCCCTTGTATTAAGCCCCCTTCCCACTTTACAAGCACCTCATACGCAAACAAACATTGCCCCTTACTGAACCCTATTCTACACAAATTAGTACCAGTTCCAGTACCGTTTTTTTTATCTTCTTTTGTATTATTATTGACCATCTCTTACATGGTGCCAGATACACACCATGTAAAAAAGCATATATACAGTGAAAAACCTGTATGGTTTGCATTATCCCTTATATCAAAAACCATAACTGAACCGTACTTACATATGGTGTAATCTAGAGGTTAGAGGCTTGAGTTATCTGTTATTTTCAGCTGGGGTATATACACTGCTCTAAGGGAACACCCATATAACAAATTCTCGATCTGAATAATGGAAATATTCTCATTGAATACTAAATAAATAAAGGTTAATGTGCGCTGAAACCAAAATTCATCAATAGCAATGAAATGTATTTACCTGCACTTAACATATTAACCATAGGAGGCCTGGATTATTTTGGAGTCACACAAAATAAGTTAAAAAGCAGACTGCAGGCTGATTTAACTTTGATGTAATGTCCTTAAAACACGTCAAAATGAGGTTCAGTATTGTCTGTGGCCTCCACGTACCTCTATGACCTCCCTACAATGCCTGAGCATGCTCCTAAGGAGGTGGCAGATTGTTTCCTGAGGGATCTCCTCCCAAACCTGGACTAAAGCATCATCCAACTCCTGGACGATCTGTGGTGCAACGTGATGTTGGTAGAAGGATCGATACCTGATGTCCTAGATGTGCTAAATCGGTCTGGGGAACGGCCGGGGCCAGTCCATAACTTCAATACCTTCATCTTGTAGGAACTGCTGACACACTCCAGCCAGATGAGGTCTAGTATTGTCCTGCATTTGGAGGAACCCAGGGCCAACTGAGCCAGCATATGGTCTCACATGGGGTCTGAGGATCTCATCTCGGTACCTAATGACAGTCATGCTACCTCTGGTGAGCACATGGAGGGCTGTGCGGCCCTAAAAAAAATGCTCCCAACACCATTACTGACCCACTGCCAAATTGGTCATGCTGAAGGATGTTGGAGGCAGCAGATAACTCTCCACGGTGTCTCCGGACTCTTTGAGGTCTGCCACATGTGCTCAGCATAAACCAGCTTTCATCTGTGAAGAGCACAGGGCCCCAGTGGCGTATTTGCCAGTCCTGGTGTTCTGTCGCAAATATCAAGCATTCTGCAAGGTGTTGAGCTGTTAGCACAACCCCATCTGTGATTGTTGGGCACTCATACCATCCTTGTGGAGTCGCCTGCAGTAGGTTATTTTGCAGGGCTCTGGCAGTGCTCCTCCTGTTCCTCAAAACTGGACAAAACATCATCCATAAAGCACATGAACTGAAAAGCGGTCTGCGTACCCCACCTAAAGAACCACTGCTTTATTGAGTGTGTCTTGCTAATTGCCAAGACTTTCCACCTGTTGTCTATTCCATTTCCACAACAGCAACAACTTTTTTCATGAGCGGTTTTATTTTCAAATTAAATGTTTATTTGATATTCATGTTCACATTTGGACTGAGTCTGACATTTTCTCTGAGTTACTGTATAACTCTCCCATTCAAATGATAAGACTAGACCAAAAAAACACATGCATATTTAGACTCCCGGTCATAATTACTTAAGGATCCAGAGTCATTCTAACATTACTATATCTGCTGAGAAGCTGAGAAGCAAAAAGAAATCAAGGAGCCTGAGATATGTGGACTAATCTTAGATTGGAGCTCAACTAACACACAAAACTAGTAAACAATGAGACTCAAAACAGTAAGAAAAACATAAAAAAAATAATAAACTCATAGTCATTAGAAAACTGATAACAGAATTGATACTAATGTGGATTTTAACACAAATGTATCTATTCTCATTAAGACCCTGTTAAAACACCATAGCATAAAATCAAAAGAATCCTGCTCAAGCTTACCTGACGAGTGGCAGCGGGTTTCCTTGGACTCTACACTCCAGGCGAATTGGACTTCCTTCAGCAACTTCCTGACTCTTAAGCTTTTGGAGAAACTGAGGCGGGGACAGGGGTTCAGATGTTGTTGGAGCTCCAGAATAAAGGTGCCTCTCAGAACCTCCTTCTGCCACATTTTCAGGGTTATTCTGTAAGTCCTCCTGTTGGGTTGGAGGGAGAGACGTAGAGACTGAGTCCTGGGGGACAGTCTGCTGGCCTCTGTGAGACAGATACCCACTGTCAGGAGAGGAGGATTCCTCATCCACCTGCTGAGGAGAACCTTTGAAAATGGATGACAGTTCCTCAATGAAGGTTGCAGCTCGACTGCAGAACTCTGTAACTGAAGCCGCTCGATCATTCAGTTCGAGGCCTTCGTGAATCAGCTTAGGTTTATCCTGTTTGTACACGGGCTGCATGGGCTTGTGCCGTATAACTTTTTCAGCCGAGGGTGGCGCCTCACCTGAGACCTGTACAGGTTTGCTGGCAGTGGGATCCTGGCTGGAGGAAACAGAAACTGCTCCATGGTCATCTGGGAAAGGAAGAGCTTTGGTCTGGTGATGCAGGTTTGGGCTTGTATTGAGGTTTTCAGTAGTTTGAGAGGGCACTATGAAGGAAGGGGCAGATTGGAGAGCCTGCTCCAGCTGTGTAAGACTAGAGTTGTCTTGATCTTCATAATCACCTGCCTCAGAGAAGGCCTCCCGGGCCAGGTCCAGGCTAAGATTAATTTCATCAGCGCTTAAGAAGGCAGTTAAATCTGCAAAGTCCCCATGTCCAGAATCCTGCTCTGTCGATGAGTCAAAGAGTTCTCCATCAGAGGAGGCCTCAGAAAACACACCTGCATCGCACTCCAATGTCCCACCTGCTGCTGGATCCTTAAGCACCACTGATATGGGGAGTGGTTGGTTCCAACTCCCGTCCTGCATCCTGAAACACAAATCAAACCTCGTTACTCATTCCATTCTTATGGTGTTTCGTTTATCCAGTACAGAGTAAACTGTTCATGAGACATTCAGCTACAAAGGGCAATGACAGCAAGTCCAGTTTAAAATCAAGACTTCATAATATTAGTGTATCACTTGCTCAGACAGCCATAGCTGACAGGATGACTCAGGGCGCTGCTGTCTGGGCACAGCTGGTGGGTATTAACAAAGTTCTTTACTGAGGTTCCACTCCACATGCTCCAAATTTCTTTGTCGCTTTGTGTTGAGTACATTAAACAGTTTGTCCAAAAAAGTATTCATACCCATCAAACATTTTTAAAAATATTTTCACATTGCAACTACAGCCTTAAAAGTATGTTATTTAAACACAATGCATAATTCTTAAATGGAATGTATATAGTCATAATACCCTTCACTGCCATACCTATACAATCCAGAGCAACAAATTATACTTGTTATTAAATGCATCTTTTGTTTTTAATGCAGTACATCCATAAATGCCTCAGAGATTAATTAGAGAACGTCAGAGAACAAAGAGAATATAATTCTCACTGATTACAGAAAGAAAAACTTTCCAACTAACCCGGCAATTAGTTAGTTATCCTTAAATCCTAATATCCAATCAAGTATTTGAGGGTATTTAAGCATTATAAAGCTGTTTAAATTTTGCAGTGCTTTTTTTCTATGTAAATATATTACTGCTTGTTTTCAAATAAGGAATTTATTGTAATTAAACATAATAAAGAAATCATGAGGTTGATAATATTAAGCAGGCAACAAAACTCAAAAAGCAATACACCACGCCCAGATTTTAAGAACTTCTAGAACAGATACATTTAATTGACATGAATCAAGTCTGTAAATCCTGAAAAAAGCGAATCAAAGGCTTTTGAACTCAAGAGAAGATTAGCGAGATATGATCCATGGTTAACCTTCCAGGAGTACTTGGCCTACGGCTGTTATCTTTACCAGCTCTCCCTCCAGTAGTTTGAAAAGAACCATTCCAAGAACAAAGCATAATTTAAATCAAACATGGAAGTGGTAGTGTGATGGTATGGGGCTTCTGTGATAGTTTAGGGCCTGGGCGACTTTAACATAACTGAATAAGCCAATAAATATGCTCTAAAAGAGAAAATCATTGAAGAGAATTAAGCAATCTTGGTTTTAGGATAATAATATAATTAGCATGTCTGCCTCTGAAAAAAAAAAAAAGCTTTTGTAGTGGTCTAGCCAAAGTCTTGCATTACATCTAATTGAAAAGCAATGCTACTAAACATGGTGGTCTGGCTTTCTTAAACATTTCACAATTGCCCTTGGCTAAACCTGCCTTTTTCTGTGAAAGTATGTGCATACATGATTAAACAAACATTTATATTTTGATTTCATACTGATAGGCTATAATAACAACAGCAACATATAATAATATTATAATAGCAACAAAATTATGTTCAATAATCTTCAATCACATTTTAAGGATTCATACTAAATGCATATGGGCTGGACTCATAGTAGTTATCCCTCTTTCATTTTTAGGGAGTCCAGTTTTGTTTTGCTCATCAATGGCAAAAAAAAAACATTCGATTTAAAGTACTTGCATATAAATTATTTATCTAAATGAATGGAAATTGACCATGTAACAGATGTGGACCTAGGTACATGTCATCCATGATGGATTCCTAACTTGAGACTTGCCAAACAATGTTTTCCTTTCTCAATAAAAACAGAGCAGAATCACTATCCTTTTTTAGCTGACCTATTCTGAGTCTACGTTTGTGAATAATAGTGCATGCTGTGAAACTGTTGGACTTGATACGCAGATGATGTGACACTCAGAGCCTCATGGCGTCCTGAAGACCAGCTGTTGTTATTTATAATCCCCTGGGCTATGTTTCACAGCAGCGCCGCTCCCCAGAAGCTGAAGTAAAGGGCTGCTACCTCTAAACAGCCACAACACAGGTATCAGTGGAGACATTTTTACAAACATGCAGTGATGATCACTTCACAGAAGATCACAAATAAAGATGAAGAATAGAGCGATAATAACTTCACACCTTTGATTAAATGTGGATGTGGAAAATATGTGACACTGAGACCAATTGGCATAATCCATTTTTTATATTCAATGCTGTACCAGAGTGTCGCTGTAAATGCTTCCAGTGTATTGAGACATTTTTTATATATTAAGGGCAAACATATAACTTGAAATGTGAGGAAATTATAACTCTGGCAGAGAAGGCAACATAAATTAACCCGTTTAATGAAAAAAGCTTTTTTTGAAACAGCTTTACTATATAACTAAGTCATTTGTCTGTCGGATAGTTAAGAAACAATATAATAAAATATGTCAAATTTACCTTGTTTGTGTGATTGTCCTTCCCTGGTTCTGGGTTCCTCTTGTTTATGCAGGGAAGAAACAAAAAGAAGCTTCTCTTTGCTTTCCCTCGTCTTATTGGTCAGACAGTCAGCAGGACCTCTCAGGTTCAGGGTCCAATTGGGTACTGCCTATGCAACTCGCTGCTGTCCCATCTGTGCCGGTCCCTAACTGCTCACTGTGTGGGGCTATATTTGGCCCCTGGCTAATGTTACACAGCCAGACTCCTGGCAAGAGGACAAAGTATAGAGGTGGTCCTGAGGAACAGAAGGCGGAGGTGACATTTTCTGTACTGAACCAGAATTTATTAATTAAACTCAGTGGTACGGAAAGTTGTAATGTTAAAACAAAGGGTTTGCTTACAGTCCTAACACTCTTTTGAGTTTAGGGTTTAGTCAAATCTAAAAGGTTTAAGTTCTGAGCACTGTCAATCACTTATTATTTCCAGCTCTCTAACCATCTACTTAATGCATTTTTCTGATTTTTTTTTTCCAGTATGCTACAAAAAGACATCTTAGACCTACGTTAAAACAGTCTGTTAGATAGTTAGGCTATCTGAGATCATGCAGCCTCATTTAGTCTATTCTGAGCCCACTATCACATTTTGCACCCGCTGAGCTATTCTGGTTCTTCTTCAATCTACTGATTACAGTTAAGTGCAGGTGATAAGTCTGGGAGGTATTTTCACTGTCATCACACATACATGCCTGTCCAACAACTAATGAGCAATCTGGAATTCTCTTTATGTATCAGTCCATGACAATCAGCCCCCTGTATTCAGTATCAATTATAAAAAGCTGCATTACTTAGTTGTAACTTCCTAAAATAACATCCAGACTCACTGTAGCTTTGTTTTCTGATTCATGAACATGAGAACAGAAGCAGAATATATCTAGCTTTCTTTTATGGCACCACTGAAATGCAAGCGTTTATTCCACGCTGCCTTGAAAAATAAAATTTCCCACATGTTGTCAACTTGTAACCATAAAACATCTATGTTGTGAAGCCAGCCAAATAGTACACAATACGGAGGGCCAGAAGAGTCAGGAAAAATAAAACAGCCATTTCAAATTCAAAATTCATAATCATACAAATACAATTTGAAAAGGATTTTATAATTGTATATGTAAAACAGAATTATTTAAAGAGAAATTGTAAACGATGCTTATTAATCCATTTTCAAATACTTAAATATTGATTAAAAAATCCTATTTCTAAATGGAGATTTGTCATTTTGTAACGCAGGTGTGGCAGCCTAAACAATGAGAGAACTGGCTAAAACTGAGGAGTAACTTGGATTGGTTTAACTGGTTTTCATTGTGTGTAGGGACCAGAACAGTCACTGAAAATGGAAATAGGGAGGGTAAAGTCAAAAGAAAATGCAATTTCAATAGGATTTGAAAATGGAAGGTGAAAAATTAAATGTAAATGGAAATAACATTTTAGATGAGTGACTAGGAAATGTCTTATCATATTTATGTTTGTGGTTTTTAAGTCTCTAATTTAGAAATGGGATTTAAAAATACATTTTCAAAATGCAATCTTTAATAATGGATTAATAAATAAAATTTACACTTCCTCTTTGAATTTCTGTTTAAGATGTACAATAAGAAAATACAGATTGGATTTCCAATTAAAATGTTAAATATGAAATGGCTGTTTTTCTTCTTTAGTGACTCTCTTGTTCCTCCATTCATACATGTTAAGTGGAGACAATTATACGTTATTGATCTGTTCTTTAGGCAGTGTTAGTTAAAGTATATTAGTCAAATAGCAGAAGAAAAAAGACCAAGGCAAACAACAACCAGGTAAGGAAGAAGGTCACTGATGAGTTTAAAGCAGGATGATGTTGTAACACAATATCTTTAGTTCTAGGAACCATGGTTATTAATCTAAACTGACAAAATAGAAATAGACAGGATTAATCCAAGAAGTAGCCAAAATGACTACTTTAACTCTGTAGGGGCTGCAGAAGTCTGCAGCTCAGGTCCGAGAGTCTGTTGTCAGGACGTCTTTTAGGTGTCCCCACATCTAGGCTCTGTTGAATAAATACGAGAAAAAAGCCACCAATGAAAGAAAGCCATTTCTGATTTGCAACAAGCCACACTTCTGCATTTTTATTATAAATATACACTTGTTTACACATATACATACATATAGCTACAAAGACATACACACACACACACACATATATATATATATATATATATATATATATATATATATATATATATATATATATATATATATATATATATATATATATATATATATATATATATATACACACACACATATACATACACACATACCTACACACATCCACATTTATCCAAGGGGGATACAGAGTTTGCCGTAATACACGAGGTAGAGAGGTCACCCATCAAGACAGTAACAGGTGGTTATTATGTACGCTTTTGTAAATACATTTTTCAGTGTGGGCCAAGGTCCAGACAATCTGGAATCTGGTTGATTATCTAGGATTATGGCGGCCTGTTCCATAGCACCCAACTCCAAAAAGTCTTTGCTCCAATTCTGTACATCAAAATAATTATAGTTCCTTTCCTTCCAGTTCAGCAATATTATACTTTTGGCTGCTAAAAAGCCCAGTGATATGATATAGTCCACATTCTTTGATGTAGAGTCTTTAGTCTTTATTCAATGTAGACAATCCAGGGGGCAAAGTGATATTCCATATCTAGTATATGAGAAAATGTGTGAGTTATATTCCTCCAGAATGTCTGGACAGGAGGGCCATTCCAAAGCGTATGCAGCAGTGTGCCTTCTGACCCACAGCCATGCCAGCACAATTTACACTTTTCTTTTTCATATTTCTTTTTTGATAAACAATTTTGAAAAGCATGTTTCAATGTCATTCAGTTTCACATATTCCAACAAAAATCCTGATAAAATGCATTCGAGTTTCTAGTTGTAGCATAAAAACAATGTGTTAAATTAAGGGCGATGTATCTCCGCAGCAGTAATTTATTTACGAATCGAGTTTTCTCTGTCGAGAAGAGTGTCTCTTCACGGCTCCCGTTGCTGTACTCTGATTGGTGCAAGTGAAAAATATGGCGGTTGCTGTGATGCCGTAGAGCAGCCAGAAGAAAAAAACTAAAGTAAGACTTTTGTGGCGCTTTTTAGGGATTAATGTTCTACTTTATGTTTCATTTTCATCAGTTTTAGGAAGCGGGACGGCGAATAAAAACCCTAATGAATCTTCCTTTGCTTTAGCTTTTGAAGGTTGCTAACCGACCTGCTAACAACAGTGTTTCATCAGTGAAGCTAACCTACATAGGAAGGTAAACCAGCAAACTGTAACATTTAGAAAACCTATGATTAAACTCATTATCTGGTTTGGTTCTGTCTTAAAAGCTGCAGTTATTTTTTCTCTCTGATAAAACTACGAGGGTTTGCAGCCACATAAAATCTTCTTAGCCTGGAACAAATATTGACCCAGGATTGATTCACAAGACAATAATGCTGTATGTGAGTATAGTGTTAATTTGAACGGAATGAATATGGAAAATCCACTTTCAGCATCGGACAATTTTGTAGTTCTTCTGCTGCATGGTCTATATAAGTGGAGGTGTAGCATCTCATCCATTTAGCCCCCAATTAGTGTCTATATGTAACCATCTATCCATCCTTTACACTTGTTTTACTAACATGATTTATATTTCCATCCTACTTCTACAATTTGAATGTTCGTATTTACACACACTTAAAGCTGTTTAGTTAATGTAATAACTAGTTGTGTCTTGAGCAAATCTTAACTATAGCAGGAGCTGTTTGGCATTAGAAGTGAAACTGTTTTGTCCCTTTAAAGCTAAATATCTTAATCCAATTAAAATCCTGCTCAAACTTTTCAGCAATATGCCTGCCTTCCGGCAAGTTGGAGAGAAGCAGCTTCCCAACCCTGTTCTGTGTATGGCATGGTCTCCCAAGAGGGATCTGATTGCTCTGGCTAATACTACAGGGGAGGTAAGTTTAAATAGAGTAAAATGTAGAGAGTGAGGCTTTTAATGTGTTGTATTTTCTGTTCTGTAAATCTGATGACTTCCCACAGTTGCTGCTCCATCGCTTGGCTAGTTTCCAGCGGGTTTGGAGTTTACCGCCTAGTGAATATACTGGGAAGGAGATCACTGCACTCGCCTGGAGACCTGATGGCAAAAGTAAAGGATGCTTTGAATATGAATATATTAAGTAGGGGTGTAAATCACTCCTATCATGGCGATTAGATTCAGTATCAATTTCTTTACCCAATGATTCGACTATTTTCGGTACTCCAGAATCCGCCATGTTTGTCTTGCCTACTGTTTATGTGAGTGCATGTGTGCAGGCGGAAAGAGGGTAGTGGCTAAAGGAAGCAAGGGAGGAGGGCAAAATAGGTTAAGCGCCACCGCATCACGGAAGTCAGAATTACATCCAGGAGCAAATGGATAAAAATAGACCGGAGGGAAAAAAAACATAAATCAATACTGTTGCAGACGTGTCAATGCATTGAATCATTGGCTGTTGGATCTATGCATAGATTAAAAACGATTATTATTTACACCTCTAATATTAAGCAGGTTTTTTAGCCACTTGTTTGGTAGAATCATGTTAACAGGACTTTTTTTTTTTTGTTCTCTTCAAACACCAGTTTTGGCCTTCAGCCTTGGAGACACCAAGCAGGTAGTCCTCTGTGATGTTGAGAAAGCAGAAATCCTTCACATGTTTCCCATGCAGAGTTCTGTAACCTGCATGAACTGGATGGAAGTGGAGGAGAACAGGTATTCTCAGAAGACAAATCAGAATGGGTGTAAATAAGGCAAGAGATGTGCAAATGGATTTCCTTTTGTTTCAGTTCCCTCGGCTCCTTTTATAATTCTGAGGATGAATCCAAACTTTTTCTTCCTGAATTACCAACACTTCCTAAGAGGTAATACGTATCAAAGGCCTATCAAATTACAAAAACTAGAGGTAATTTAAACTAACTCTGCCCAAACCTTTTCCTAGTTATAGCACAACTTCAAAGATCTTCAGGTAAGAGAAAATGTAGAGGTACTGATTTAGAATTTAGATTATTTAAGACTCATTTTTTATGAATCTTGGACGAATGGATTTATCTTTTTTTATTACAGCGAGGAAAAATCTGAT